GTGTTCCCCATCCCAAAAATCACCCCCTGCCATAGTTACACAAGCACACCCAACCTATGCCATATTTTCCCAGCACTCTCTCCTAAATAACACAAAACATACATTTATAAATTTTTATTTGTAAATAGAACATTATGCTCAGCATTAGCGTGTGCATCAAAGAGTTTTCAAAGGAAATATAGTTAAAAATCCAAGGGTGATCTTAGCAAAGATGCTTCAGAACTAAAGTAGTTTCTCAAATACTGCTCACTGATTAATTTGACTGCAGCCTTGCTTTTCGCCAGGAGAGGTCGCTGCAACTGAAGCTTCGAGTAATGAACCCATTTTCGAACCAATTGGCTCAAGTGGTTCAGTGCTTCACAAAAGCTTCATTTGGCCATCACTACAAATAACCGGGAAAACAAAGCCCACGAGGGGGCAAAACAAGACAAGACTACGGTGACTAACTAGACAACGACACTGACAAAACACTAGAAAACAAACAACACTTCAAGAGAAACTAACAATGACTAGACTTTCAATGACTTTCAAAGACAAGACTTTCACAGGGTACTCACAAGTAACATTTGGCAATGAACCGACAAGAGACAGTGAAACACAAGGGGATAAAATAGGGAGACTAATCATGACATGACAGGTGACACAGATAAAGCAATAATGACTAAATCAGGATAACAAGGGGGCGGGGTAAAGAGAGGAGACAACGCAAGCACATGGCCCAAACAAATGGCCATGTGCTGCACATGAAACATGGGTCTGCCATGATCCTGCCACAAGACCAGTGAAATCAAAGACAAGATGGCAGAATCATGACAACGTAACCGTTTTTATGATATTTGTGTGAGAAATTTATTTTCAAATATATGCATTTATAATTAACATTTAAACAAATGAACATTTATATTTAGACCTTTTTAATATTTATTTTAATTTAATTAAAATGTTAATACATTTATTTAGGTAAAAAAAACAGATGTTTTTTAATGTTTTTCATTTGATCAGTTTTACATAATCTTTCTCCCTCCCATAATCTCTTAGAATAACAGTTAAACTTGCTGATATGTTTAATTCATTGTTTAAAAAAGAGATATTGCACAAATGATATGCACTCATGATCCCTCAGTCTCTCTGCCTATTTCCCCAGTTCAGTTGTTTGTCTCAGCGCAGAGTCTTGTCTAGAGTTCCTGGCATTACTGAGCGTTGTCCTTGTTTTCTGCTATTCCTGGTTTGGAGATCTGCCTGTGTCCTGGGGTGTGTTCCAGAAAGCAAGCTTATCTTACCCTCAAACATAGCCTGAACTCTTGCTTGATTAAACCACATTATTTGCTTTTATTGTTTAATTTCATGGTTCACACACCAGACCTTCTCAACAGAGACGAATCCACGAGTCGCCATGGAAACAGACGCTGAGAAAAAGCGCGCCGTACGACTACTTTCTTCTTTTGTTAAATGCTGATTTACATAGTGCATATCGCCTCCTATTTGGTGATTGTGCAATCATTTTAAAATCTTTTTACATTATAGCGTAGACAATGTCCTGTTGCAAAAAACAAACAAACGTCTGAATGCAGATAAACGATGTGTGAGATGAGCATTAGCTATATATTATAATAAACTGAACATTAGCTTGTTGTAACAGCGCTTTATATAGATATAAGTGTCAGGCCCGCTGGAGCCTCATCAATAGAGACGCATGCGCTGAACACCTCTGGAGTAAACTGACCCTGGATCAGAACCGGCTCCGGAGCTGCTATGGCTACTGATGAGAGAGAGAGCTGTGCGAGAGAGAGAGAATGAAGCTCAGGATTTTATAGGCGATTTGATACACACGATTTTGATGAAGTTAGTAGGGATTTTTATTTTAGTTTGAAAACAGAGGAATATCTGCAAATTGATAAAGCCTCTGTGTTGAGGGTTTTACAAACCACCCAAAAACTAAAAGCCCTGGGCTTGATAAAGTCAGTGGAGAGTTTTGAGGAGCTGTGCTTATCAGCGCTGTGATATCAGGCATTTCATTTTTCAGACCTCATTGAGATTACAGAGAGTGCCTTCAGTTGTTTCTATCAAAAGCTAGATCAGTGTTTATATCTGAACTTTAAACTTTTATCCCATTACTTCTATTTAAGCTGTTTCATGCCAACTCTCTCTGGGTCAGTGGCAGCGCCAACACAGATGTAAAGTGTTGCGATGTGATTTAGTCAAAGGTTTAATAGAGGAATTGTAAGAAGATGGTGTGTGTGTGTGAATGGAGATCACAGTATTGTAAAGCTGAATCGGTCAGCTCTACTGTCTTATCTCTCTCTCAGCATATGAGCAGCGCGAGGGCTTTCAGTGCTTCAGTCTCACGCCGCTTCCACACGTCCACTAGACAGGGATATTACGACACTCATAGATAACCACACGCTTCAGCCTCTGTTGGAGCAAGCTGGGTTTCCATGTTTTATGGGGACTTTCCATAGAAATACTAATTTTTATTCTGTACAAACTGTATATTCAATCCCCTAATCATAACTGATGTATTTTAACAAAGTGAACTGATGAGTATTTCTATACATTTCATGTTGACAGCATTATGTTATTTATTGTTTAAGTGTTATATTTATCTCTGGATAAAGGCTTAACCCTTGTGTTATCTTCATTTGGGGCCGACACTAGTTATCTTTGGGGTCTCCAGGGACCCCAGACAATAACATTTAATTTTGTAACAGAATTAATTTTTTTTTTTTTTTTTTTTTTTTTTACAAATGTAATTTGACTGTAATTTTGATATATTTTAAATTTCTATAAATAAATAAATATTTATTTAAATAGGCTTTTTACAAAAAAACAGCATTTTATGTAAAATTCACTTTATAAAAGACCCAGATTTCTGACTTTCATTCATGGGGATAACCTGGATAACTTTATATGGTTTAATGTATGATTTGTGCCCATTTTTTTGGAAAATGCAGTTTTAAAATAAAAAAAAATATTTTTAACCACTAGATGGCTATAGAGCTCCACTATTTGCTATTCGACTAACTAAATATATCTTTTCACAAGTTGGATTCAGTTGGATTCATACCTAAATATTATAAAATCACAATTATAACAAAAATAAAATACTTTTGTCAAAGTTTAGCATTTTTGTACTGAAAAATGTTTTCAATAATGTTATGATTAGAATCAAACCTGAACAATGTTACAAAGATACATTTTTAGATTTTATTATTTACAGTTTTTTACAATCACTTTGCTACTATTTTCAGAACATTGATGTCATTTTTCAAAACTCTAGACACAAAACTCAAAACGGTTATCACTTGTAACACAGGCTGTCTAATGTTCAAAACATTGCATTGCGCATTCACATCTTTAAAGAAATCTTGCACTTGCACAATCATTGGTTCAAAAAACAAATTTACTGTGAAATACCATTGAAACATAACTATAGATCACCCACACACAAGCAACCGATAGTTTCACTGTGTCATTGTTCGTACAATCATTAAATATTGTAGAACAAAATAGGTGATTATGGTACTACATGTACAGTAAATACATCTCTGTAAAAGTACTGCAGTAGTAGAGAGAATACACACATAGTGGAATCATTGAACAAAGTGTGTAATATATTGATGCAAAACACTAAAGTACAATCACAACATAGGTTTATTGGAATCAAAGCAAAAATATAAAATATTAGGCTACATCCATGGATATTGTAGTCTAATTGGTTCATGCTCCATGCTAATTGGTGACAATGAATCTCATTATCTTGAAACTTTCATGATTTACTGTAAACATGGAAGATTGTGTGTCTGTTTCCATACAACTATGCATTAAGAGTAATGCAACAGTTACTTATCATTTTGAGCAGTTGTATCAATTGATAGTTAGATCATTGTAAGGAAATGAATAGACACTCATTTGAAATGTAATGTGTGAATTGCCTTTTGAAATAGTAGTACTGTAATGTTAAGTTGTGTCATATTGAACAGGTGATCTTTGTTGAATGAACAAATGATCTAAGTTTTATGTGTATTGTATCCAAGCAATTGAGAAAAGGGTTAGAGTTTTGAAAAATGTGCATTTTGATCATTGGTTGTGAGTTTTGTGTCTAGAGTTGTGAAAAATGACATCAAGGTTCTGAAAATAGTAACAAAGTGATTGTAAAAAACTGTATTTCAATCGTCTGTTTTTAATATAATTCTAAATTTTTAATCAACATTTCAGTTACTAACTAACAGAACAAAAATTAACAGAAATGAACAGTTATATTACATATTGAGTAAAAATACATGACATGAACAGCAATAACAAATGAGTTTTTTATAGCCTTACAAATGTATTCCTTTGTGTGTGTGTGTGTGTGTGTGGTGTGTGTGTGTGTGTGTGTGTGTGTGTGTGTGTGTGTGTGTGTGTGGTGTGTGTGTGTGTGTGTGTGTGTGTGTGTGTGTGTGTGTGTGTGTGTGTGTGGTGTGGTGTGTGTGTGTGTGTGTGTGTGTGTGTGTGTGTGTGTGTGTGTGTGTGTGTGTATGTGCACATTTTCAATGTGTCAGTGTCACCAATTTATTTTTGTTATGTTTCTGCATTTTGGAGGATTTTATTTTACAAATGATAAGAGAACAGTTTGTATACGTATATATATATATATATATATATATATATATATATATATATATATATATATATATATATATATAATATGTATATATTTCTGTCTGTGTGTTCTGCGTTGTTTCTGATTTTGATGATGAATTTTGTATATTTACTATGCGGGGTCTCCAGGGACCCGAAGACAACTAGTGTCACTATCTTTTTCACGCTAACATAAAAACAGAAATCATTACAATTTTTTTTTTTTTTTTTTGTAGATCTAGAAAGTGTTGAGAGCCGTAGAAAGTTTCATACCATTTGGACAAAGAGAATTATTTAAAAAATTTGAGCAAAAGTCATTTGCGGGTTAAAAAGACCCTGAAGAAAACCAGAGGCTTAATGTGTGTCATTGTTCTCTACAGGTTGTGGGATTGTGGAGTCACAGATGAAGGTTGTGTTGCTCTGGCTTCAGCTCTGAGATCAAACCCCTCACACCTGAGAGATCTGGATCTGTCTGTGAATAAACTAGGAGACTCAGGAATAAAGCATCTTTCTGATCTACTGGAGAATCCTCTCTGTAAACTGGAGAGACTGGGGTAAGATCATCTCTACCATAAAGACTCTGAGTGAATAAGGATTAATATGTAGATAGTGTATATAATATATGTGTGGCGTAAGCCCCATCCGGGGTTAAAAATAGTAATAATGCTATCAGTCAAATTCATCTTTACTTTGTTTATTTTGTGTTTATTATTGTGTTTATTATTATTATTGTTATTGTGTTATTGTGTTTATTATCATTGTTATTATTATTATTGTTATTGTTATTAATTATTATTATTATTATTATTATTATTGTGTTATTGTGTTTATTATTGTTATTGTGTTATTGTGTTTATTATTATTGTGTTGTTATGTAAAGAAGAATCACTCCATCACATACAAAAGGAACAATTACACTTAATGCAACCAGTTTGAAATAATGGTGACACTTTATCACAAGTATACAGTAACACAGCGCTTATGAATCATTCGCAAACTATTAGTTTATAATTAATGAACAGTATAAGAGTATATTGTAATATTTGTGGAGGAACAATAACACACGCAGAGACGGAGCCAAGTTGAGTGCCGTTTACTTCTGGTACAACACTGATACAGATCAGTTTCCGGGCGAGAGTGCCCACACCCCTTTACCGTATTTCCTCTAATACTGATACTATCATTACCATACAGTATAAACTACTACATATATAAGCTGTTGTTAATATATGAATCAGTATTACTAGATTATATTATTATTATTAGACTGTATACAAATAATTGGGATAAATGTCTCGTCTCTCTCTCAGTATATGAGCAGCGCGAGGGCTTTCAGTGACTCAGTCCAGTGTTGACAACTATGTTCAGAGGAAAGTAGCTAACGCCTTCCCTAAGGGGCTGTTCACACCTGGCCACTTCAAGCGTTTTCTGTGATGGGATAGCTATCCGATCGTGAAGAGACCAGGTGTAAATGCCCTGCGAAACACATTCCAGACGGATCCGATCGCTCAAACCACTTCAGGAGGAGGTCTGAGACCGTTCCAGACCAAACTGGACAAGTGTAAATGCATCTGGTTGTTGAATCCACATATGTACATTTTACTCCTCCCAAAAATGCTAAAAAATAAACATGTGAGAGCGTGTTATAGGCTTATGTCATGTTCTAGCCAGATAAGACTTGTTTGTTTCCACATATGTTAGAGCGAGAGAGAGAGACGGCAGGGAGAGAGCAAGAGCTCGCGCTCGCACCACTGACAGCATTTGGGGGTCACTGAGGTTTGACCAGAGAGACGCTAGATTTGTCGCTAGTCGCTTTAAAAAACAAAAATCACTAAAGGGGTCTGAAAAGTCGCTATAATAGTGACAAAGGCTCTGAGTTTAACACTGATTCAGTCTCACGCCGCTTCCACACGTCCACTAGACAGGGATATTACGACACTCATAGATAACCACACGCTTCAGCCTCTGTTGGAGCAAGAGTGGCTAACTTCTGTCAACCTCGGCTATAAGCGAGGAAGAAAATAAAGCCATTTCATTTGAATCAATATCGATTCTGGAATAAAAATAATACATTCAGATCGTAAACAAAAAAAATCATGATAGTTTGGAGAATTTTTTTTTTCGTTTCCAGACCTAACACACACACACATACACACACACCCATTCCTTAACCCTTGTGTTATGTTGCGGGTCAATTTGACCCGTTTCGATTTTCAAGTTGTTGGAAATACTGGTTAACCTTTGTTTTTTTTTCTTGATATTTTGTGACTTTTTCTCATTTATCATGATGAACATGCATGCAAAGCAAAGTTTCAACATGCTGATGTGTTTTGACATATACAAACAAAATTACTGTTACGTTTGTGATGTTCGCGGGTCAATTTGACCCTCATAGACAGCCATTCAAAAGCAACTGTACAGACACAAAATAAAAACATTTATTTTCTGTATGTCAGGGCACTTCAACTCCAGTTCTAACGTGCAAGTGCATCTAAAAGTGCTCTAACCCTAACCAAACACACTTGAAAAAGCTAAAATCAATTAGAATTATTTGCAAATTACAGATGAAAATCTTTGTCAGACACAGATAGTAAAATAAGCTCTCATTTCAATATTCAAAATATCTAAAATACCTAGCTTTTAACCAAAACTTTTATGTAGGATTTTCAAAGGCAGCTTCACAGAGCCAAAAAATAAATAAATAAACATTTATTTGATGTATGTTTTTGTTATGTTTGGTTTCTCACTTCCCAGTGAGTGAATAATGAAACTAGGAAAATAGGTCTTAGGAAACTAGGGAAAGTTAACTTAGGAAAATGAAAAATTTTCATTATACAGCTATTTTTTTTTTTTGTTCAGTTACGATGTTCAAAGCATAAAATGTAAAAAAAAAGGAAAAAACAATATATGCAAAAAAATCAGTATACTGTTTATTTTCCAATTTTGTCAAAACAAAACTGTTTTAAAAAATGTTTTAAAAACATTTTCATAAATCATATTTTCAGGTATAATGTTTTTGTAATGTTTGACAAATGTTGATATTAAAAGTTTACAGTTTGTATCTAAATCTTTGTTGTTTTTCATAGTGTGATTTTTGAGGAATTGTATTGAATCCAATTAGGGTCAATTTGACCCGGTCCATAAGGGGAGTACACAGAATTCGAACAGAACACAAGGGTTAAAATGTTTACAAATACATTAAGCACACACACACACACACACACACACGTTAGGTTTCCATGTTTTATGGGGATTTTCCATAGAAATATAGATTTTTATACTGTACAAACTGTATATTGAATCCCCTAATCAATAAATCCCTAATCTGTGTATCAGTCGTTCAGTCATTTTTTTTATTTAATATTGAAAGTATAAAAAGTATTCTTTTTTTTTTCAAAATGAAAAACAAGAATTCATTTAGATTTTTCGTGTTTCGTTCTCAGGTAGAAACATTAATAACGGCTTGAATATTGGATTTCTACACGCGGGCGGGAATGAAACGCCCCTTTCCTCTGATTTATCAGCCGGAGATCAAACTGTGTCGTTTTTGGACAAAATTAAAAACACTAAAAAGGAACCGTTTTCTAATTTTTCTACTTTCAATATAAAATAAAATAAAAAATAAACTGTACGACTGATACACGGATTCAAACTGTTGTATTTGAACAACATGAACTAATGAGTATGTGTATATATAATATTTTAAGTGTTGTGTTTATCTCTGGATATAGGCTTAATGTGTGTCATTGTTCTCTACAGGTTGAGGGAGTGTGGAGTCACAGATGAAGGTTGTGTTGCTCTGGCTTCAGCTCTGAGATCAAACCCCTCACACCTGAGACATCTGGATCTGTCTGGGAATAAACTAGGAGACTCAGGAGTGAAGCAGCTGGAGGATCTGAGGGATGATCCACATTATAAACTGAAGACACTACTGTAAGAATAGTTCTTAACGATTTTCATCATATTTTCATTTAAAGTTTAACTGGCTGATTTTCTCACTAGAAATAATAGTAAAGATTCAGTGTGTGTGTGGGGGGGAATATTGTGTCTGAGATCATCAGATAATAAATCTTAAATTCAGTTTCTGTTTTGTTAGGTAGTTGTTACTTGCTTTGGTGTGTGTGTGTGTGTGTCTGTGTGTGTGTGTGTGTATGAGATTATGCTGATTTGGTGGACAGGTTTGTGTGTGTGTTTAGAGAGAGACACACTGAGTAAGATATACATCGTGAAGCAAACCACCAAAATAACAGAGTCGTCGCAAAATACACATTTAGTGATTTTATGGCGCTTCAGATTTGGTTTCTGTGCCGCTTCTTCTGTGTAAAGCCTTATGTGTGTGATAATCTGAGATTAGGGTTGTGTGTTATTAACTGATATTAAATGTGTAGTGAGTGTAATGATGATTTCTGCTGGTTCTGGATCAGCTGTCCGGTGTGTGAAAGTGACCTTTCATGTGCTTTTGATTCTGTAAAGTGACTTTGAGCATCAGATAGAAGCGATATTATCATGTTTGAGAAGGAATTAATATAGATTATCTAGTTAGTTTTCTTATGTAAAGATGTGACAGATGTAATATCTCATACTGCATATGTGGCTGTGTGTGTTTTATTTTAGGTATTAGATGACAGTCTGATCTTCTGCTGATCATCTGATGGTAAATAAGGATCCACTACAGAGACTCACAGTCAACAGAATCAACAGAGACTGAAGATACAGTGACTTCACTGTTATAAATTAAGACTTCATTTAGATTTCAACGATCCTCTGACAGACCTGATGAGGCGGCAGTGAAACACCTTTTATTTCACAGCAAATTACACTTTCTCATTCATAGATTAACCATTTAATTTGTATAAACACACAGTATAAACTCACAAATGTTGGAGTTTTAGAGTAAATATAGAGCCTGAATGTGTTTGTGTTGAACCAGCAGAGCGAGACAAACACTAATGAAAGATTCATTTTTAATAATTATGAGAAGATAAAACAGTTCAAGCTCACTTTTGGAAAACAATGGAAGATTGAGTTCATACATCATGTTTTTAATAATAGTTGTATTACATTTGTATTAATGGTTTAAAGGTGTCATATGATGCATATGTTTCCTTTGGTGTGTTATGTTGCTGTTTGTGTGTGTATAAGATCTGCAAACTTACAAAGCTCAAAGTCTCCTACATAAAGATTTATCATATCTAATGTCCGGCACACACTGTATGATTCTGTTCCAGACGAAAGATGATCATCGTGAAACACTCGTGGAGATTTCTGTGGTCGCGGCTCCTAAACGGTGTTTTGATCAAAGATCGCCTGATCATTTACTGAGAGTCATGATCATCTCACAGTGTGTTGCTGCTACGACCGACATCTACTGACTAGACCATAAAAATGCTTCATGAAATGGCGTATCGATCAACGCGACATGGCGCTAAAACTTAAAACTACTTTCCTCAAGCTCCATTTGCAAAGTTGTCATGCCAAGTTCAGCTCTTTCTCTCGTCACTGGACGAAACAGCCGGAGACAGAAAGGCATCAGACATAAATGCATCTTTTAGTC